TTGGCTTTGTGGCTACCACCATTTCTTGACCCATTGCTGAAAGCACTGTCAGCTGAAAATGGATAAATTCTGATTATATAACATGAACATGAATGTTTGTCAGTGTTATTTCCTGCTGTTGGCTAATAGTATTTTGCTGGACTACTAAAGTGGAGAAAGTTTTCATTAAAAAGTAATAAATCTTCTCGATACAATTGCATCTTAAGACCAGTCTCAATGCCACCAAAATATTTGCACAGAAAATTTCAATTTGAGAAAATAGCTTTAATAAATATCCTACCCAATGATCCTTAACAAGACTTGAAATGCTACATTTTTTGTAACAATTTATGTTGAAATACTATGAAAATATTCTAACTGCTATTTATGAAGTGCAAAAAAAATTCAAGATAATTAACAATGCTTAACCAAATAAAACGAACCTGCGCAACATTCCAAATTATATTAACACGCATGAAAAAAAAAAACCACAGCGTCTTAACACTGCCTGGTATTAGGGATAAAGCCCCCAATTGAAAGTGTTGTAAAATATCTACCAAGAAAGTTACACACACGATATACGAGTTTCAGAGAGGAAGTCATAGTAACCATGTCAAGTTGAAAAAATTATGCAAAATTTGATAAGCAGGGTAAAGTATTAAGAGGTTAGAGTCAGTGTGGCCTGGAACTCCCATAGGTGTACAAGGTGCATTTTAAAGGTCAATATGTACATATCAAAAGGAAGGAAGATTGAACAAGAGTTTGTAGCACATACACTGGCCTTCAGACACCGAGAGGTAAAAGTGGAAAGCAAACACGACTTGCTGGAATTTCCCAAGGAGGAAGGGAAGCATAGAAAGGGTGTAATGAAGAGGGATGGGGGTGGGGGGGTAAATAAAGGGAAGGCACAAAGATAATTCCAGAGTTCGAGCACACTACAGGGTCACAACAAATGCAGTCAGCGATTAAATGAAGTTATCTTACAAAACACGATTATATACATAAAAGGAACACAAAGATCATGAGAACATAACGAAGGCAATGGGCACTGCACTGACCCTGCAAAGGAACATTTGCTTTTTTATACAAACTGTAGACCAGGCAAGATCAATAGGCTCCTAAACAAACGTAATCCTTGATAAAGGATGGCATAATTTCTTTCAAGTAATTGTGGAGGGTATGGAACATACTTGATCCCCATAATCTAACTCGGACAAAATTTAGGACTGTATGAGGTCCAAGGAGGTTTTTGCCAATCAGCTTCCCCAGTAAAAATGGGGTAAAGTTTTAAGTACATTGAGAGTAAGACTGACAATTAGGGAGATTACATGGGACTGTCATGACATTCAACTATCAGAGGCGGCCTAGAAATTAAACTGCAGCGCACATCGGAATGATCTAGCAAGGCATCTTGTTAACCTTATCAATCATTTTAGCAACAAAACAAAACCATATGAAGTGGCACTATTGGCCACACTATCTACAGTGCTCGCAAAAAAATCTAACCTCCCCTTTATGAAAATAGTTAAAAAGTAACAATCTAAATATAGAATAAAAACTAATATTTGATACTTGTATAATATTTTCTCATCTCCCCATTGGCCTTGATGCCCATTTGAAACCAAGTGAGCATGCTTTCACTTGTATTTCTTAAGTAACTGGATAACTGATTGACCCAAATGTCCTTTATTTGCTGCAGGCACAACATGGATGAAATGTGGAAGGATTCCATCTTTTTCATGACATTCCAGGCATTCTCAATAGAACTGAAGTCTGAACTATTTCCTGGCCACTGTAAAACCTCAATATTTTTCTCTGCAAGACAACTGGTTACTTTTTTGGCCTTGTTACATGGGGGGGGGGGGCACTATCATGCACAAAGGTGATGCAGCCTCCATTATAAAGCAGTCTGGATTAACATTTTATCACCTCTTGGTGCACCTGCATAGAGCAGCGAGATAAGGTGTTCTACTCTACCCCCTACCCTTTAAGTGCTCAGAATTTGGAGCTGTAGTTAGTGTACTATAATTTAAAGTTGACAAATATGAGATGTTTAAAGAATAGCTGGGAAAATAGATAGTATATTGGCTTGGAGAAGAGCCACCATAAAGGAAACTTGTCACCATATTGGACAAGAAAAGTCCAGCATAAAAGAGTTACTTGCTGCTGCCGCCTGTGGCCTCCCACCAGATGCTATTTCCACTACAAAATCTCATACTAGATGGCCAGAGAACATCTAAACACACACACAAGCTACATGGAGAACTACATAGAAATCCACATATAACTGCATAACAGCTCAAAGACACTCATCCTGAACTATTCAGTGCCATACATCACTGCCTGCAAAAGGAACCCCACTTTCCAAGTCATCAGATATTAATCAAATACTGAGGGTGTCAAACCAGGTAAGAACCAGAAATAATGAATTTAAGTTGGATAAATTTAGATTTAGAAAGGACATAGGCAAGTACTGGTTTTCTAACAGAGTTGTAGATGTGTGGAACAGTCTTCCCAGTAGGGTGATAGAGGCTAGGACCTTGGGTAGCTTTAAGAAGAGATTGGACAAATATATGAGTGGGAGGAGCTGGGTTTGATTGGTGTCATTGGGTACGGGAGTTATTTCTTGGGTAGCTTTAGGTAGAGGTTGTTTTGATAAGGACCTGCCTAGCATGGGCCAGTAGGCCTTCTGCAGTGTTCCTCCATTTTTATATTCTTATCATACTGCAAGGAAACTGTCCCCCCTCCCCAATACTCACTCTCCTAAATTCATGGCTACACCACCTTTATGTATAACAGCTCCCCTGTAACAAGGCTGAAAAAATAACCAAATGACTAGCTAAGAAATATTAAGATTTTACTGTAGCCAGGGTAGTCAAGACCTCAATCCTATTGAGAATGAGGAAACGGTATGGTGATACTGACAAGATGTGGAAAAAGACGCTTGTGTACAGTTCAGGACATATATTAAAGGAAACTGTTCGCCACAAGTGGCTTCTTCAGTCTTAATACAGAGAAAACTAAGAGAACTCGTATATATAGTGGCAGAAGTCAGGTGAAGTGTAGTGTGGGTAGAGGTGGTGGTAGTAGTAGTGGAACAAAGGAGGAGAGACGGATGGCTACAGAGGGACCTGTTGACATGTAACAGCAGTTTCCAGAATGGGTAATATCCTGTTGATAAGCAATTTTGAGATACTGTAACTACCAGACTTTTGCTTTATAGTGCTACTAACAGCAATTAGGGCAGCTACTATGCATTTTCTCTGTCTTAAGTCGTCGTCTTTAATCACTAGTTTAACCTCACTGAATTTCATGAGGTGTCCAACATCGTCCCTATGTTCAACACACGCGTTTTTGCGGTCATCATTTCTGCAAGCATTTTTGTGTTCGATGATCCTGATGTCCAGAGATCTGGCTCTTTCCCCTACATATACTTTGTCACACCCCCCACATTGTAGTGTAAATTCCTGCACTTGTGCCAGAATCATGCATTTTTATATCAGGTTCCTAATAGTAGTTGAAGAGCTTGTAGATATTTTAGCCAGTTTTCTGTCAAACATTTTTGAAACGTTAGTGGCAACATAGTTGACCGGTAAAACGATGCAACTTGGAGGCTTTGGTGTTGGTCTTGTTGAGGATACGTGTCGCACATTTCCTGCAGTCACGTATGAAGTGTAGGGGAAAGTGTAGTAAACTAAAAGAATTGTGATGTATGTGCATTCTTCTTTGAGGAACTGCGGACTGAAAATTCTGTAGGCTGTCAGAAAGAAGCCAATAACTACCCCTCTTAGTTCTGGTGTCATGGTGAGAGAAGAAATGAAGACCGTTCTTGTAGGTAGGTTTCTGGTAGACTTTGAAAGAAAGTGTTTTCACCAGTGTGTAGGAGAATGTTGAGAAAAGGTAATTGGTTGTCCTTCTCTTCCTCTAATGTAAATTTAATAGTAGGTTCCAGAGTGTTGGTGTTGAGGATGCCACGCATGTCTAGATTTTTGGGTACAACGACCAAAATATCATCAACATACCACATCCATGTAACTGAACTAGGGATGTTACTGAGGATCCATCTGGATTCTAGGTCCGCCATATATAAATTGGCAAGTACCACACTAAGGGGGGGATCCCATGGCTAGCCCAAAGAGTTGTTTGTATTTCTTGTCTTCAAACCTAAAGCAGTTATAACGAACACAAAGTTCGACAAGGCTCAAAATCTTGGCGGGGTACAGGTAACTATCATCATTAATCACCCTGCGAAGATGATCAATGGCCTGATCAACTGGGACATTAGTGAATAAGGCAGTCACGTCGAAACTTGCAAGCTTCTTATCACTCATGTCGAGATCCCTGATACGGTTAAGGTCACCCGAATGCTTCAGGTGAGCCTGACTAATTGTACCCAGGAGCTTAGATAAATATTTCGCCAAAACTCCTGCCAGGCTGTGTGGGGTGCTGCCAATTCCAGACGTAATATGTCTCATAGGCACATTTGGTTTGTAGGCCTCAACTACTGTCCCCACTAACCAATATTCACCCATATACTGTGGAATCTCTTCAACCTGTGAAGTCCCATAATCCAGTCTCCTGATATTTGGAGAAAGAACTGAGGAAAGACCATTAATAATTAACAGGAAAAGGTAGTAACAAGGACAGCCCTGAGGTATGCCGTCGACTTGTACAAAATCAAGTTTCAGGAAATGCGTTAGTCTGCCTTAGAGATGTAAGGAATGGGTTTGGGACAATGCTGAAATGCAAGGTAGTGTCTTAAGCTCAGTCCGTTTGAAGAAAAAGAATAATTTAATTGGGAGGCACTACACCTGTATGGGTCATACAGAACATAGGGAATGGGAGGCAACAAGGTTTGAGCTAAGTGGTGATTCAGCCCAAGTCCCTGGATAGTGTGTTCACCAGCATCAAAGCACCTCCTATGAAAGGCTCAAGGATTTCTGCAAAGGTGTTTTGAATGCATGTAATCTTAGTAGGGGCTAACAGTAAAGCACCCCCTTTCTAAAACCAAAATGACAACTTTCAAGTCTTAAGCATATGAGGAGTTTATTGACAAAGCTTTTATTTTTTATTATTATTATCACACTGGCCGATTCCCACCAAGGCAGGGTGGCCCGAAAAAGAAAAACTTTCACCATCATTCTCTTCATCACTGTCTTGCCAGAAGGGTGCTTTACACTACAGTTTTTAAACTGCAACATTAACACCCCTCCTTCAGAGTGCAGGCACTGTACTTCATCTCCAGAACTCAAGTCCGGCCTGCCGGTTTCCCTGAACCCCTTCATAAATGTTACTTTGCTCACACTCCAACAGCACGTCAAGTATTAAAAACCATTTGTCTCTATTCACTCCTATCAAACATGCTCACGCATGCCTGCTGGAAGTCCAAGCCCCTCGCACACAAAACCTCCTTTACCCCCTCCCTCCAACCTTTCCTAGGCCGACCCCTACCCCGCCTTCCTTCCACTACAGACTTATACACTCGAAGTCTGTTTCGCTCCATTCTTTCTACATGTCCGAACCACCTCAACAACCCTTTCTCAGCCCTCTGGACAAGTTTTGGTAATCCCGCACCTCCTCCTAACTTCCAAACTACGAATTCTCTGCATTATATTCACACCACACATTGCCCTCAGACATGACATCTCCACTGCCTCCAGCCTTCTCCTCGCTGCAACATTCATCACCCATGCTTCACACCAATATAAGAGCGTTGGTAAAACTATACTCTCATACATTCCCCTCTTTGCCTCCAAGGACAAAGTTCTTTGTCTCCACAGACTCCTAAGTGCACCACTCACCCTTTTCCCCTCATCAATTCTATGATTCACCTCTTCTTTCATAGACCCATCCGCTGACACGTCCACTCCCAAATATCTGAATACATTCACCTCCTCCATACTCTCTCCCTCCAATCTGATATCCAATCTTTCATCACCTTATCTTTTTATCCTCATAACCTTACTCCTTCCTGTATTCACTTTTAATTTTCTTAATCTACAAAAATTAGCCTAAATAGAGACTGACCTTGTCATGAAGTAAATGGCTTAAAAAAAGGGAGGACTATTGCAGTTTTCCACTATAGAGGCAAACACTTTCATTCAAGTGCTATGGGAGGTTAAATAATGTTGTGTAAACTTCTGCATCAGGCCTGCCTGCCACAGGTCTGCACACGCATAACCAATATGACTTCTCAAAACAGAGGCATATACAGCTCATCAGTACAAGCTGTGAAGTTCAACAGGGCCAACTCTCACTTCAGTTAGGATTGAAGAAATATGGGGCAAGGAAAAAGTAGGCCTTGGGAAATTAATGAAGTGATGCCCAATTGCTTTGCTAACCTTGACAGGGTCTGCCACTTTTTGCCAACAATGGCAAGGATGGGAATGAATGCTATTTTTCATACTGTTTTCCAACTTGTGCAAAGGTAGTGGCATTTACAGTAAACACAACAAGTGTGTGAAATTAGTTTAGCTGTACATATAACAGATCATGTCCTCTCACTCATTTGAAGTTGGGGAACAGTTTACGACAACAGTAGTGGCCTGGTAATGGTTGGGAGGCCACCAGGAAACATTTCTACAAATGTTTATCCAAACTATGGGGGGTATAGAGTAGCTCCAGAGTAGGGAAGAGATGTAATAGAACGTATGTAAAGGAATCTAACTGGGGATCAAGTATAGTAGTATGGGGTGTCTAGCACCTAGACATAATAGAAAGAAATCAGAGAACATGTACAATTCCTTGGATAAGGAGCCCCCTCACCTGCATAAAGGAACCTCCATTGAGGAGCAACCCAAATTAGGAACACTTTGAAGCCATGAGGTGAAAAACCCTAAGTTTGGAATTAAAGGTATTACTTTTGAGCCCTTTCTAGACTTTCTAACCAATACCAAAGAAGAGGTTCACGGGTACAAAGCAATTCTACAATACGAATAATGTTTGTCTGCTATACAATTGGGGATCAGCCACTAATTCTTGTGTCCATAGTTCATGAAAGAGCTACTGAATAATAGAGCTAAGTGTGACTTGCATAACACATGCTCTTGAGAAAACACCAACAATCATCCCATTGGATAAAATTAAAAAGGCTTCAGTTTCACTTATAGGCCTGGCACTAATTCTATCTACTCTCTTCATTCTGACCAATGCCTTCCTTTTCAATGATTCAGGACTGCTGCAATATAAGCCTGAAAATGCCTTATCTATCCAGTCTCAAAATATATTATGGGTTTACCAATAACAGATAAAATAAATTCTTGAACTGCTTTTCTTTAATCTGTAACAAAAGCAACTGTCTTCTACAACAAACGAAAATATTTGCACTTCTCTAGGGAATCCACTAGCCTTAATTTAAATGCATTAGTAAAAAAATTAAAAACTTACCAGAAGGTCTTCACCATTTTCAAACTTTGTTTTTATCTCGACACCAACTTCACCTTCAGGAATTTTAATATCGTCACGCAAGTCACCAGATTCCATCATTAGAGACAAAAAGCCATCATCGGAAATGTCAATCAACTGTAAAACAAAAAAAATTCATTAAAAGTGCGTGTGAGTGCATACAAATGTGCGCGTGTGCGAGCGTGCATGTGTGTGGGGGGGGGTGGGGGGTGTGTTGGGAGGTGTGTGGGGGTGGGGGGGGGGAGGTGTGTGGGGGTGTGTGTGTGGGGTCTGGGGTGTGTGGGGTGTGTGTGTGGTGTGTGTGGGGGTGTGGTGTTTTGTGTTGTGTGTGTTGTGTGGGGTGTGTGTGTGGGGTGTGTGTGTGTGGTGTGTGGGGTGTGTGGGGTTGTGTGTGGTGTGTGTGGGGGTGTGGGGGTGTGTGGAGTGTGTGTGTGGTGTGTGGGGTGTGTGTGGGGTTGGTGTGGGGTGTGTGTGTGGTGTGTGTGTGTGTGTGTGTGTGTGTGTGTGTGTGTGTGGGGTGTGTGTGTGTGTTTTGGGGGTGTGTGTGTGTGTGTGGGGTTGTGTGTGTGTGGTGTGTGTGTGGGGTGTGTACTCACCTAGTTGTTACTCAACCTAGTTGAGGTTGCGGGGGTCGAGTCCGAGCCCCTGGCCCCGCCTTTCACTGATCGCTACTAGGTCACTCCCCCTGAGCCGGACTTTACCCATACCTCTGCTTAAAGCTATGTATGGATCCTGCCCCCCTACATCGCTTCCCAAACTATTCCACTTACTGACTACTCTGGCCCGAAGAAATACTTCCTAACATCCCCGTGATTCATCTGTGTCTTTAGCTTCCAACGTGTCCCCCTTTTTACTGTGTCCAATCTCTGGAACATCCCGTCTTTGTCACCTTGTCAATTCCTTCAGTATTTTGTATGTCGTTATCATGTCCCCCCTATCTCTCCTGTCCTCCAGTGTCGTCAGGTTGGGTTTCCTGTGTGTGTGTGTGTGGTGTGTGGGTTTTGGTGTGTGTGTGTGTTTTGTGTGTGGGGTGTGTGTGTGGTGTGGTGTGTGTGTGGTGTGTGTGTGTGGTTGGGGTGTGGGGGTGTGTGTGTGTGGTGTGTGTGTGTGGGGTGTGTGTGTGGTGTTGTGTGTGGTGGGGTGGTGGTGGGGGGTGGGTGGTGTGTGTGGTGTGTGTGGTGTGTGGTTTTGTGGTGTGGGGTGTGTGTGGTGGTGTGTGTGTGTTGTTTTGTGTGTGTGTGGTGTGTGTGTGTTGTGTGTGTGTGGTGGTGTGTGGGGGGTGTGTGTGTGTGTGTTTTGTGGGTGTGTGTGTGTGTGGGGTGTGTGTGTGTGTGTGTGGGGTGTGTGTGTTGTGTGTGTGTGGGTGTGTGTGTTGTGTGGGTGTGTTTTGTGTGTGTGGTGTGTGTGTGTGTGGGTGGTGTGTGTGTGGGTGGGGGGGTGTGTGTGTGTGTGGTGTGTGTGTGTGTGGTGTGTGGGGTTGTGTGTGTTGTGTGGTGTGTGTGTGGGGTGGTGTGTGTGTGTGTTTTGTGTGTGTGTGTGTGTTGGGGTGTGTGTGTGGTGTTTGGGTGTGTGTGTGTGTGTGTGTGGTGTTTGTGTGTGTGGTGTGTGTGTGGTGTGTGTGTGTGTGTGGTGTGTGTGTGGGGTTTTGGTGTGGTGTGTGTGTGTGGTGTGTGTGTGGTGTGGTGTGTGTGGTGTTGTGTGTGGGGTGTGTGTGTGGTGTGTGTGTGTTGTGGTGTGTTGTGTGTGGTGTTGTGTGTTGTGTGGTGTGTGTGGTGTTGTGTGGTGGGTGTGGTGTGGTGTGTGTGGTGTGTGTGTGGGGTGGGTGTGTGGGGTGTGTGGTGTGTGGGTGTGTGTGTGGTGTTGTGTGGGGGTGTGGTGTGTGTGTGTGTGTGGTGTGTGTGTGTTGGGTGTGTGTGTGTGGTGTGTGGGTGTGTGTGTGTGGTGTGGGGGTGTGTGTGTTGTGGGGGGTGTGGGGGGTGTGTGTGTGGGTGTGTGTGTTGTGGGTGTGTGTGTGGTGTGTGTGTGTGGTGTGTGTGGGTGTGTGGTGTGTTGTGTGGTGTGTTGTGTGGGTGTGTGGGGGTTGTGGTGGGTGTGTGGGGTGGTGTGGTGTGTGGTGGTGTGTGTGTGTGGGGTTTGTGTGGGTGTGTTGTGGTGTGTGTGGTTTTGGGGTGTGGGGTGTGGTGTGGTGGTGTGGGGTGGGGTGTGTGTGTGGTGTTTTGTTTGTTTTGGGGTTGTTTGGTTGGGTTTTTTTTTGTGGGGTGTATTGACCTCCAGAATGAAAGTAACTTTTGACCCTTCATTATGTTTCTCAACATCAATGGATTTAAAAGCAATGCTCCACCTTATTAAAATTCTCAACAGTGTTAAATGTCCCCCCTAGACTAAAATTCCTTTGTACCTCCTTCCAACTTTTAAGTTACCTCCCCCTCCCCCATTTGGGCACGTGATCAAGTCTACTTTTCCCTCTTTTAAATGTCCCCTAGCCTTAATGTGGACCCCGTAGCAAATCCGTTCCGAGAGTTGTCTTTAACGCCTCGGGTCCAATGTTAGCACTCGCGCCCCCCTTTTTGAACTTGGAAAAAAGATGTGGACCCAGGCATCCCATTTTTTTATTGGGCAAATGGTGACCTCTCTGTCAGGCGCTCGAATTGTGACATGTTTATGAGGGAACGACATTATTGGGGGTCGGGGGAGAGTTTGTTTGGACCGTTAAGGCGGGGGCCAAAGGGGTAATTACCCCTGGGGTAATTTAACCTTTTTTGGGGGGTAATGGAGGGTGACAGAAAAAAGTTATGAATTCTGAAAATCAAGAAAACAATGCGGTACCCGGTATAAGGATTATTGTTAAACTTTGTCTTAGTATATAAAGTTGTAAAGTAAACCTATTAAAAGCAAGTAATAAAGTTAAACCAAATAACAATAAACATCAAAAACTAATATACAGTATTAGAAAAGAAGAATATATAGCTAAGGTGGGGAAAACCCCAAAAAAGTTTTTTTGACAAGTTGCTTCAGGACAAAAGTCTCTCAGTAACCCAGATCGACCTGTCCAGTACGCATCACTCACTTCCTGAGGCTGCCTCTATTTCACACTGTCAGTTTATCTGTGAGCATCAGCCGAGGTAGACATAAGCTGGTATGAAGCCAAGAATTCCTAAACTAGCTTCAAGTATGCAACTCCATCCATCCCACTGATGTTCTTGACATCTTTGGTAATAGTCATTAGAGATGCACAATGTTCAAATACAATAAATAAAAGAAAATATCTCAAGTGTTTTAATTTAGCCATATATATCAATAATAACAACATTTTGTGAAAGGGGTAACATGCTTTATGTGGCATGTTAAATTGGGTAACAAGCTGAAAAAGTTTGGGAACCACTGGTTTAAGGGTTAACCGATTCTGTCGTTATCCGAATAAATTTTCCCCATAAGAAATAATGGAAATGCAATTAATCCGTTCCACTCAAAAGTATTAAAATAATTTGTTTGCATGAAATATAGATTTCCCTACACAGAAAACAATGAGACATGCAGAATACATACATAAATAAATAATAAAATGACACTTACCTTTACTGAAGAATACTGATGAGTGATGAGACACTTTCTTGAAAACACTGGGATTTTCAGAGTGAAATACAAGTCAAGGCTTCACTTTGCAATCCCCACTAGCATTACAACAAAACATGTTAGCCTGTCTTTCATAGGCTTGTGTCCTGGGAGTGCCTTTTCCTCCTGAGTAATGTAGGTCCTGTTTGGCATTTTCTTCCAGAACAGGCCTGTTTCATCACAATTGAACACTTGTTGGGGTTGGAATTTTTCAGCCTCGCCATGCCTTATCACAATGTGTATGCGACTACGATTTTTAAATCTCTCAAACCAACCTTTGCCGGCCTTAAATTCACCAATATGAGCACTAGTTCCAGGCATTTTGTCCTGTTCACCTGGGTGTTAGTCGACTGGTGTGGGTCGCATCCTGGGGGACAAGATTAAGGACCTCATTGGAAATAAGTTACAGTCCTCGATGACGCACTACTTTCTTGTGTTATCCTGGGTGGCTAACCCTCTGGGGTTAATTGTTTCTCATTGATCCACACCAACAACAGTCTCTCCACATCTTCAAGTAGTACGTATTTGCAATCTCTGTTTTGGAAGCATATTTGCACCATTCACAACAATAGCTTCCTTGATTGCCTTTTTGTTGGCCAAGATAGTAGCAATGGTTGTATGGGGTTCGTTATACAACCTGGCCAGCTCCGAGACACGCACTCCACTTTCGTATTTTGCGATGATCTCTTTCTTGAATTCAATAGTATTTCTCACCCTCTTTACCACAGGGCTGGCACTAGAAGCTTTCTTTGGGCCCTTCATGACTTATTTAGCAATTACAAGCACTAAAAACAATGGAATAACATAAAATGTATTGCATGTACGCATGGAATCGTCCTCACTGGCTTGTAAACAATGGCCCACTGGCTGTACATGGAGTGGCCGGGCCACTCAGGCAGCGCAGACACGGCCAGGATGAATGACTAACCGAGTTTTGTCATTAACCGAGCCAATATTTTGACGCAAAAACGTGTCATTATTCAATTTTTACATTATCCGATGATGACGTCATTAACTGAGGGTCCACTGTAATACCTCTGGTACCTCCACACTTCCTAATCTCCAAACTTCAAAATCTCTGAATATTCACACCACACTGACCTCAAACACATCACTGCCTCCAGCCACCTTCTCACTGCAACATTCAACACATGATTCACACACATACAAGTACAGTGGACCCCCGCCTTACGATATTAATCCGTTCCTGAGAGCTCATTGTAAGCTGAATTAATTTTCCCCATAAGAAATAATGGAAATCAAATTAATCCGTTCCTGACACCCCAAAGTATGAAAAAAAAAAAATTTTACCACATGAAATATTAAAATTAATACACAAACTGAAGACGACATGCACAATTACTACTCTACTTAGAATACATAACACTTACCTTTATTGAAGATCTGGTGATGATTGATGGGATGGGAGGAGGGGAGTGTGGAAGTTATTGTTCAGAAGGGGAATCCCCTTCCATTAGGACCTGAGGTAGCAAGTCCTTTTCTGG